CGCAGTTGGATTGGTGCACGAAAGAGGATGGAAATTTGATGTCTTTGTGAATTTTTAGCAGCCAACTTATTCCGGATCCAGTTATCCCCTAGTTATACTGATTTTTTATTTCAATTTTATCGTGGGGAGGGAAGTTCCAAGTTATGAAGGGACGAGAGGGATCGTGGGCGGTTTTATCCGATTTATGTGGAATGGGTCAAGTGTCGGGTCGGATTTTAGTGGTTGGGTCGTAAATAAGTTGATTTGGGCTTGGTTATTTTGTCTTTTTACACTATTTCGAGATAAAAAGAAAAAAAAAGAAATTTTTTTTTCCTCGGATCATTTAAAATTTTAAATTAAGACAATAGGTTATATGCGGTTTTGATCCTATGGAAAACCAACAAAAAATATTAAAATTAAAAATTTAGAGCTGTAGTTGAAGTTTTGGGAAATTTCCACGAGGAAAACGACTCTTTACATTTCGAAGTTTTGAATTTTTTTTTTGTTTGAAATAGGTCAAAAGCCATCGTTACACGATTAGACGACACGTGTCTCTTGTAATAAATTCTGCCATGTAAGTTGTTGTCACCAAAATACAGATGAGTAAACTCATGGGCCTGGCCCATTTACGTAATAGCGAGTGTATCTATTAATTCTGGTATTTATTATTACGAGGCCCACATAAATGTTGATATTTTTCTTCTTCATATATGTTACATGAACAGGCACAATGAGTTTGAAGAGGAGAGTGAAAAAAAATACATTAACATTTTTCAAATCCAGTATCTGTTCATTTCTCTATCGAACCAATACATTTTCCTTTTCTTTTTTTTTTTCATTAGAGACCACTCAAATATTAAAATATAAGTACATTTAGTGATCTCTAATGAAAAAAAATTTAGGTCGATAATCTCTATAATATTAAAACAGATATACATTTAGGAAAATATCCAAAATTGATCAGGATATTACTCAAATTGTCATTGTCCATAACTAAATAGATTCAATTAAAAATGGTAATTTCGGACAGATGCAATGACAATTTTAGTAATATTGTCTTCAATTTCGGACATTCTCTTAAATGGATCCGATTGAAAACGCGCGGATCCTCTCTGATCCGGTTCGTGATCCGCATTTTCATTAATGGTATTTTTGTAATTTTTTCAAACGTTTAATGGATCGCTTAATTGTTTGTTTATTTGTTTGGGCCGATTAATATAAATAAAGCCCAAACAGATTTGTATGAGCGGAAAACGAAAATGATCGATGTTTAAATATAGGAAATCTTTATCAAATCAAATAGTGATTGTTGTTTCCTAAATATAACGTAAGAGCATCTGTAACGGTGAATTATTTAGGGTGTCAACAAAATTTTTTGATTAAAAAATTATTTAATCTGCTCAACTTCGGATGAAACGGGTCTGTGGGATGAAGCTGTTGAAACGGGGTCTTCGGGACACGTGTCGCTCTTGTATTGGACCGAAGTAAAAAAAAAATCAGAAAAAGGGAAGCGAGATGATCGACCATTTTCG